GTCGCCCCCAGCCCCCGCTCACGGTCGTGGTCCGGGACGATCTGGAAGTTCTTGACGGAGGCCTGGGTCACGCGCCCGTGGAAGTTGAGCACGTAGGACTGGGTCTGCTCGTTCCAGGCCGGCACCTTGTTCTGCAGCACCAGCAGGTTCTGGAGGTTTCCGTTCTGGAACCGGCTCAGCAGGGTCTCGTGCTCCTGGGGAGAAGAGATTGGAGCCCGGTGCTGCGGGCTTCTCTGCAGCAGTGTCCCGGCCGGGATTCCGGGTGCTGTGAACTTCCCTGTGCAGTGCCCAGCATGGAGGAATTCGCCAAGGCAGTGTCCCAGCCACGATTCCCAGTGTTGTGAGCTTCCCCACAGCAGTGCCCTGGCCAGGATTCCCAGTGCTGCAAACTTCCCCACAGCAGTGCCCTGGCCGAGGTTCACAGCGCCGTGAGCGTCCCCACAGCAGTGCCCCAGGTTCCGGGTGCTGTGAACTTCCCTGTGCAGTGCCCAGCATGGAGGAATTCGCCAAGGCAGTGTCCCAGCCACGATTCCCAGTGTTGTGAGCTTCCCCACAGCAGTGCCCTGGCCAGGATTCCCAGTGCTGCAAACTTCCCCACAGCAGTGCCCTGGCCGAGGTTCACAGCGCCGTGAGCGTCCCCACAGCAGTGCCCCAGGCATGATTCCTAGTGCTGCGAGCTTCCCCACAGCAGTGCCCTGGCCGAGGTTCACAGCGCCGTGAGCGTCCCCAAAGCAGTGCCCCAGCCATGATTCCTAGTGCTGCAAGCTTCCCCACAGCAGTGCCCTGGCCGAGGTTCACAGCGCTGTGAGCGTCCCCACAGCAGTGCCTCTGCCATTATTCCTAGTGCTGCGAGCTTCCCCACAGCAGTGCCCTGGCCAGGATTCCCAGTGCTGCAAACTTCCCTGCAGCAGTGCCCTGGCCGGGGTTCCCCAGCAGCCTCACGTTTTTGGGGCGGATGCTGATTCTCTCATTGTCTGCGTTCATGCCGGGGATGATGACAGTCATTTTTCGGGGTCCCCTGAACCCCAACACGTTGGTCTCCTGTAGTGAGGAGCAGCAGAGAATCTGTGACCCTGTCAGCCCGCAACCCCCACGCTCCCCAAACACTCTGCACCCACCTCATCTCCATGACCGTGGCCAGCCAGGGACACAGATGCTGCGAGCTTCCCCACAGCAGTGCCCCCAGGTGGGCGCCGGTACTGCGAGCTTCCCCACAGCAGTGTCCCCAGGTGGGGGCGCCGGTGCTGTGAGCTTCCCCACAGCAGTACCCCTAGGTGGGGGCGCTGGTGCTGCGAGCTTCCCTGCAGCAGTGCCCCCAGCCAAAGCTGCGGGTGCTGCGCACTTCCCCTTAGCAGTGCCCCAGGGACCAGGGTTTTCTCACATAGCAAATGGCCGCCAGCTCCTGCCGGATGGGGGCGCTTTCGGGGACGAAGGGTTTTTTCTCCGGATTGGCCCCGTTATCGAACACCGTGAACCTGGTGCCCAGCATGTTGGACCTGCCCTGAGGTGGGAAAGGCCCGGTGAGGGGGGAGCCCCTTGCCCGGTGCTGCAATGCGCCCACCTCTGGGGTGCAGCACGGGGCTGGTTGTCTCGGGACCCTGGCCCAGGTGAAAAGGCAGCCCCTCCGCGGGGGGCGCAGACCCACCTGACCTTCCCGATGAAGCCGTCCCCGTCCCGGGACAGGTCGATGGGATCCAGGGAGATGAGGTAGTTGGATGTTTTGCTTTTTTTTCTCTTCCGGCCGGACATCAAGAACAACTGAGAGCGACAGAAATGAACATTCTGCCCTGTGCCCCACGGCGCCCCTCTTCTGCCTCCCCACGGCGCCCCTCTTCTGCCTCCCCCTGCCCTGTGCCCCATGGCGCGTCCCCGTCCCGGGACAGGTCGATGGGATCCAGGGAGATGAGGTAGTTGGATGTTTTGCTTTTTTTTCTCTTCCGGCCGGACATCAAGAACAACTGAGAGCGACAGAAATGAACATTCTGCCCTGTGCCCCACGGCGCCCCTCTTCTGCCTCCCCACGGCGCCCCTCTTCTGCCTCCCCCTGCCCTGTGCCCCATGGCGCCCCTCTTCTGCCTCCCCACGGCGCCCCTCTTCTGCCTCCCCCTGCCCTGTGCCCCATGGCGCCCCTCTTCTGCCTCCCCACGGCGCCCCTCTTCTGCCTCCCCCTGCCCTGTGCCCCATGGCGCCCCTCTTCTGCCTCCCCACGGCGCCCCTCTTCTGCCTCCCCCTGCCCTGTGCCCCATGGCGCCCCTCTTCTGCCTCCCCATGGCACCCCTCCCCCTCTGCTTCTCCCTGCCTTGTGCCCCATGCACCTTCTCCCCTTCTGCCTCCCCCTGCTCTGTGCCCCACAGCACCCCTCTTCTTCTCCCTCCCCCCGCCTTGTGCCCCATGCACCTTCTCCCCTTCTGCCTCCCCCTGCTCTGTGCCCCACAGCACCCCTCTTCTTCTCCCTCCCCCCGCCTTGTGCCCCATGCACCTTCTCCCCTTCTGCCTCCCCCTGCTCTGTGCCCCACAGCACCCCTCTTCTTCTCCCTCCCCCCGCCTTGTGCCCCATGCACCTTCTCCCCTTCTGCCTCCCCCTGCTCTGTGCCCCACAGCACCCCTCTTCTTCTCCCTCCCCCCGCCTTGTGCCCCATGCACCTTCTCCCCTTCTGCCTCCCCCTGCTCTGTGCCCCACAGCACCCCTCTTCTTCTCCCTCCCCCCGCCTTGTGCCCCATGCACCTTCTCCCCTTCTGCCTCCCCCTGCTCTGTGCCCCACAGCACCCCTCTTCTTCTCCCTCCCCCCGCCTTGTGCCCCATGCACCTTCTCCCCTTCTGCCTCCCCCTGCTCTGTGCCCCACAGCACCCCTCTTCTTCTCCCTCCCCCCGCCTTGTGCCCCATGCACCTTCTCCCCTTCTGCCTCCCCCTGCTCTGTGCCCCACAGCACCCCTCTTCTTCTCCCTCCGCCCTTACTCTGGGGGTGTCGGCCTGTGGCTCCAAGGCTCTGCAGAGGATGTTGGGGTCTCCCTCTTCCTCCTCCTCCTCCTCCTCCTCTTCGCTCCTGCTCTTTGTAGCGAGCAAAGACCCGTGGAGCCCCTTGGCCTCTCCCACCCGCAATGCGGCTCCCCCCCCACCCTGGCTGATCTGGGGGATGGGGTGGTTAGTGCCAGAGAAGGTGACCTCCCCTCCGCCCCTGTGGCTAAGCCGCTTGAATGCCAGCCTGGCACTGGTGCTTGATAGTGAAACACACTTGTGTACACTCTCGCACAAGAGTTGCACCCCTCACTTTGCACACCCAGCTGCATGCCCGTTGCACGAGGATGGCCTCCCTTTGCACGTCCAGCTGCACGCCCGTTGCACGAGGATCCCCCCTTTGCACGCCCAGCTGCACGCCCGTTGCACGAGGATCCCCCCTTTGCACGCCCAGCTGCACGCCCGTTGCACGAGGGGCCTCCCTTTGCACGTCCAGCTGCACGCCCGTTGCACGAGGATCCCCCCTTTGCACGCCCAGCTGCACGCCCGTTGCACGAGGATGGCCCCCCCTTTGCACATCCAGCTGCACGCCCATTGCACGAGGATGGCCCCCCCTTTGCACACCCAGCTGCGGGGATCTGGGGGATGGGGTGGTTAGTGCCAGAGAAGGTGACCTCCCCTCCGCCCCTGTGGCTAAGCCGCTTGAATGCCAGCCTGGCACTGGTGCTTGATAGTGAAACACACTTGTGTACACTCTCGCACAAGAGTTGCACCCCTCACTTTGCACACCCAGCTGCATGCCCGTTGCACGAGGATGGCCTCCCTTTGCACGTCCAGCTGCACGCCCGTTGCACGAGGATCCCCCCTTTGCACGCCCAGCTGCACGCCCGTTGCACGAGGATGGCCCCCCCTTTGCACATCCAGCTGCACGCCCATTGCACGAGGATGGCCCCCCCTTTGCACACCCAGCTGCACGCCCGTTGCACAAGGATGGCCCCCACTTTGCATGCCCAGTTACATGAAGGTCACGCTCCCTATGCCCACCCCTTGTATGCCCCACCCTCCTGGCCTCCCCCCCGGCTCCCCGCAGAGCCTCACCTCTGAACCCCAGCACTTGATGAGGCCTTTAGCCTCAGGCCCCGGGGGTGCTGGGTGTCAGCGCAGCCAGCTGCAGGGCAGAGGGAGGAGGGGGGGGGGTGTCAAAAGGCGCAGTCCCCTTTAAAAGGCGGGGTCGCAGCATCATAGCAACCGTTGCTAAGGGATGGAACAGGGTGAGGAGTGTAACAACCTGGCAGCAGTGACCTAGCAACAGGGTGGGGCATCCATTGCAACAGTTGCATAGTAACCAGGTGATGCTGGTATAATGGTGGCAACGGTTACATGGCAACGGAGTGGTGCACACCGCATAGCAACGGAAGAGCCCTGGCATCAGGGCTTGGCAACGCTTCGCCTAGCAACAGCATGCGTGCCCACGAGCGACAACAGGCGTGTGGCAATGGGGTGGCACACGCAGCGCAGCAACGGTTGCGTAGAAACGGAACAGCGCCTGCATCAGGGCGTGGCAACCGTTGCATGGCAACAGAGTGGTGCACATGCTTGGCAACCGTTGCCTGGTTGCACCCGTGTCCTGGCCCGGCTGCACGCTCACCCCCTCTCTGCTTGGCCGGCCAGCCCTTGCGTGTGGAGCTGGGCGCCGACCGCGCCTTGTTGACCGGCCGCGTGTCCTCCAGGACGGCCTCTTCCAGCTCCCCGTCGGAGACATCTGGACAGGGGAGGCAGACAGTGCATTGGGGACTGGCCCCGCCCCCTGGATCGGCCCCCTCCCTCATTACCTGTGGCCATGCCTTGGGCCTCCCCCCCGGCCCGGGGGCCCCGGTCCAGGTGCACGGAGCTACCCCAGGCGTCAGCAGCGCGATGAGCCTCCGGGACGGACTCCACCAGGAAGGGGTTGCTGGTTCCTACGGGAAGAGGGGGTCCTTAAGCCACACCTCCAGCAGACAGGCCCCGCCCCCTCCCGATTTCCCATTGGCTGAGAGAAGGGGTGCTCTGCCATGCTCCGGCTCTGAGTGGTGGGACTCAATGGCCATCAGACACGCCCCCTCATGCCATGCCCTCTTGGCTGTTCTCCAGAACTCCTGCCTTCTGCAGGCCCATGGGGAATGGGCGGGGCCTAATTTTTGGTAGCCCTGCCCACAAGCAACAAGCCACACCCACGTATGCCATGCCTATGGGACGCCCACGACTAGCAAGCCACACCCCCAAGGAGAAGACCTTCCCCTTCCATCTCTCCTCTCCACAGGGACACCAGGACAGCCATGCCCTCTGCTGTGGGCGGGGCCTTTCTTTAGGAAGCCCCTCCCCAGTTGACAAACCACGCCCCCATGAGCGAGCCACGCCCCTCTCATGTGCATTCTTGTCGGACACAGGCAAACTGTTCGCCGACTAGCAAGCCACACCCCCAAGGAGAAGACCTTCCCCTTCCATCTCTCCTCTCCACAGGGACACCAGGACAGCCATGCCCTCTGCTGTGGGCGGGGCCTTTCTTTAGGAAGCCCCTCCCCAGTTGACAAACCACGCCCCCATGAGCGAGCCACGCCCCTCTCATGTGCATTCTTGTCGGACACAGGCAAACTGTTCGCCCCCTAGTGGTGTGAGCTCTAGTAGAGGGCGGAGCCAAACGTTTGGAAGCCACACCCTTCACTGACAAGCCACGCCCCCACTCTGGGCATGGAGCAGGGGAAGTCCCTCCTCCGCTGTGCGCTGATTTTCAACAGCTGGCCAATCGCGCCCTGACAGGGCTGAGACCTGGGGGACTCGTTCCAGGGATGAGGACAGCCCCCGGCCCCCCTCTCACCATTGCAGTCCTTCACTGACAAGCCACGCCCCCACTCTGGGCATGGAGCAGGGGAAGTCCCTCCTCCGCTGTGCGCTGATTTTCAACAGCTGGCCAATCGCGCCCTGACAGGGCTGAGACCTGGGGGACTCGTTCCAGGGATGAGGACAGCCCCCGGCCCCCCTCTCACCATTGCAGAGGCTGTGCTCGCTGCAGGACTCCATCAGGGGGGTGCGCTCCTCGGGCCGGCGCCCCCGGCGCCCCATCAGCTTGGCATCAGGGTTGGCCTGCACCATGAGGGGCTCCTGGCGTTTGCGACGCTGCTTCTTCTCAAAGATGCGGCGCTGGGGGGGCGAGGGGGCAGGAGAGGAGAACGGGTCCTACCAGCCCTGTCCCGAAACCCCCCTCCCCATGGGGATCCTGCTTCAGCCCCGATCCCCTCGGTCCCAGAGCCCCCTGGGGGGAAGGGGCCCTTGCTTCCAGCCCCAGTCCTGGGGCCCCGCAGCGGCGGGGGGGGCAG